TGGGACGAAAAATTACCAAATTTAATTTTGGCAATTAACACCATTCAGCAAAGTTCCTCAAAATATTCTCCATTTTACTTGCTATTTGGATATGAACCTAGAATTAATTCTTTGGAATTAAACTTAGGAACTATAATAACAAGTATCTCAAGAGAACTTCAAATAGAGGAAATTATAGAATCAAGAATTAAAGCTGCTGAGAACATAAAGAGGAAACATGACGAAAATAAAAAACGTTTTGATAAATACAGATTAAACCAAACATTTTAAAAAGGAGACTTAGTTTGGTATGAATGGCCCTTAACTTCAGATTCAAAACTATCACCAAAGTATAAAGGTCCATTTGTGATTGAAAATTCAGTTGGTAAAGTATGTTATAAAATAAAAAAAGCGGATCAATCAGATAAGAAAAAGGACACAAGAATAGTGCATATTCAATCACTAAAACCATTTTTGGACAGACCTAATCTTGATGATCCTGGCAGTGTAGAATTCGACGACTCCACAAATGCAGAACCAGAAGAAGGTACAGTTGTTGAAAGAAATTCTAATCCTGTGACTGAGGAAGTAACCAGTGGCAATCTCCCGAACACTTCTAGTCGTGGTCGCACCATCAAAAAACCTAGTTGGCTTAATAAATTTGTGTTACAGTAAATATGTTTCTAACAAGGTTCCTAACTTGTAATATTATGCTCTTTATTTTTTATGCAAGTTTTATTTTTATTGTATTGTTATTGTGAGAATATAACACAATTTTTATGTATAATTTTTCTTGGGCCGATGAGTACAAAAGGTTTTTATTATTTAAAAAAAAATATATATAAGAAATTGTGTAACTAAATGTGAAAAATTGTTTATGTACTAATTAATGTATTAATTTGTTGAATTTGCAATGCAATGTAGCTCTTTTCAGTTTATTTTTTTATTATTTTTATAAAATTTATTAATATTTTCTTTGGGGCGAGTGTAAGGTCACACTGTAAGTAATATTAATTATAATATCAGTTAGCAGGTTATATCAGTAGTCGTTGTTATGTCACCCGTGTGGTAACATATTATTTTATATGCTTTTATTGTATTGTGTATTAAATATATTAATCTTATTATGTATTAAATATATTACAGGTGACAATTTAGTATACAAGGTAAATATATAAATGAAACAACTAATGTGTTTGATTACATGGCAAAGTCGTGCTGAATCAATTGGAATCCATTTATCCCGTCTACTATTAATTACCCAAATTTGTCTACGTTTTGGGTCTGTCGAAAACCGACATAATTGATAGCCCTGACTGATTCGATTAGTACAGTTTACTGCAGAACAGGACATATTAACAAACCTAATTGAATATTTAAATAACTAATAAGTGAATACCTAAGCGGCTAAGTAGTTGTAGAAATTTAATTTGTTATAACTATTTTTAAACTGTAATTCAGTAATCAGTATAGCTATCATAGTTAATCATTATCATTTATCAGTTTTGTTGCACACAAAATGGCGGATGCACATACTCAGAGCCTTACCCAAGCTAAACACAATTACAAATAGCAATATTGGCGCGAAATTCAAAAAGATACGTACGGCGCGAACACAGTTAATCATCTTATAATGATCTAGACAGTTATAATATGATAGATATGTACTCATTGTGCTCAAGATTAACTAAATAAAAAAACCTAAATATAAATATTTATTCAACAGTTTTAGAATTGATCAAGAAAAAAACTTTGCAATTTATTGTTACATACAATCATTTCATCTTAAATATCATGTTTTATCAAATCTGTAATTTAAATTATAACATCAAGAAGTTTACTCATATCACATTTTATTTTTTGATAGTTTTCACTGTAATAATTGATGGTATTATTAATTATTACAAAAAATGAAATAAAACAAGTAGGTACTCTAATTTAATCATTTACTAGTGATAAATGTATTCATTACATTTTAAAAATTATAAATTAATATGTTAACAATAGGAAATACAATGTATTTCTAGTATTAATTTCACTTTTGGAATACATACTCAAACATAGACCTAAACAAAATTATTTGGAACAGATTTAAATATAAATGGTAAAAAATGAACAATAATTTTAATGAAATTAAAAGAACATTATATAATGGAATTCAAAATCCCTTAAACATAGAGATGAAGTAGTATTAAATTGCCTCGGAATAAGTCACACATGCAGCTATCCAACTTTTATCAAACACACATCATAACAGAATGCACACACAAGAGGCCTGACAAAATTTCAACATAGCTGAGCACCTTCATAAAATACTGAACCCTGTGATAAAGACATCAACAAAAAAATGCTACTGTTAAAAAATATATTCATTTGTACACACAAGTTTAATTTTTTTTAGTAATGTAATACTAGCCAATAGTCTTGTTATTGAGGCTTTAACAAATAACTTTGTTTAAAATAAATGTACATCATTAGAACGAACTATAATAAACCTGTGCCGTTATATTGCTTTACATTAATGAAATAAATTAATTTTCTTGAGCTTAAAGAAAAATTAATACATTTTATGGTTTAACTAAAGTACATCCATAAATCTGATCGCGATCCAAATGTCTTGTCTTTGTTTTGAATTCATTGACCCTTTTATCATATATTTCTTTAAACTGTTCTATGTTACCATTCGTAAATAATGACACAAACTTATGATATATTGTTTGAGCTATGTATCTGACTTTAGCAGCTTGTTCAGAATGTCTTATTGCTTCTTGTTCACTTAATCTCCATTCACTTGCATTACCAACATACTTTGTTACTTTTATGATAGTATCAACAACTATTTGATGTTTTATTAACATAAGAGCATTTATTTTTAAATTTCTAATTTGTTCTAATGATTGCAAAGCCATTTCATAATCAAAACGTTTAATTGATAAAGCTGAACGTAATTTATGTATATAATCCAATGTATCAATTTCCGATTGTAATAGTTTCATTTGAGCTATTTTCTTGGCATCCAATTCTTGTTCATTAAATTTGGTTTCTAAACTTGATAAAGAATCAGTCAATATTTCTTTCCTTCCAGAGAGTGAGTTGTTATTTTTATTATTTAATTTATGAGTTTCTTTAGATACATTCTTTATATGTAATGATGGAATAGGGGTTGATGGATGGAGGATATCCTCAGTTATTGGATTTAAACTTATATCTAAAAACAAATATCAACAGTTTTATTTAATTTTAGAATAAAATACAAGGTGATAAAATAATATACTTGGTAGAATATGCAATTAAATTTAACATTAAAATTTAATTTTAATGTTTAATAAAGAAAAGAAAAAAGAATATCAGTTGAACTTGTCAACATACATAGTTTTGTAGTTATTTTTCAAAAGATATTAAATAAATATTGGAAATAAGCTCATTAATGAGTATGGTGCCATTAGATCTTTAAACTTATTAAGTAACTATAATTTGTTATAACTAAAATTTTAACTCAGATCAGATAAATTAAATTATAATCAATAAAAAAAAAGTTAATATTCCTAAATATTACCTTTAGTTTTACAGTTTTTTTCCATTGTATCATCAGTTTCAATATCATTTGTGTTTAGTACTTTTGTAGCCTTTAACATTTTTATGCTTGACCTCAATGAACATCTTGACTTTTTTTTATGATCTGCAAAATGGATTGTTTTAGAAGTACAGCTGGAGTAAGATTCATGCATTAAATGAGAGGTTGATGTTTCATTATTTAATGAATTAAAATCATTAATTTTGAATTCGAATTTCATAGTTTTACTATTATCCAATAAGGCATCACTAGATTCAGTAATTGATTTAGTTTTACATATTTTTTTTGCATGTTTATCACTAGTTTCATGAATATTTTGATCAACTCCAATATTTAAATCACTCTTAGTACTCTGAAATACAAATATTATATATTATCCATAAGAAATATTAACAGAATTAATACTAAGTTACACTTTAAAAAGAAATTGTATTAAAGATTACGTTTTTTGATTATTGATATACAAATAAGCAGGGGCGGATAGATAAAAAAAAATTTACTGGGAAAATATTAATAGAACGGCATTATTCTACAAATAGTATACAGTCAGGGATACCAAAACTCTTTTTCTAATGAAACTTAAAAACACTAAAAACCCAATTACATAGATATTAGATATAGATGAAAGATGAATAAAATAAAATAATTCAAATTAATAATGCAATAACAAAGTTTTTGAAGACTTAAACATTTATTTTGATTTTATATGTGATAGGTATTTTATACAGAATACAACATGAAAAATTAAATTTTGAAAAAATGATGTCACTCTAAGCTTGACATTAAGAAGTAGCATATTATCAATTGTATTTACATAAATAATTACATATCTAGAAAATAATATATAAATATAATTAATATTATTTAACATTGTTTTTAATTTATTTACAAAGGAAAATTATTTAAGTTAAAATATAATATAATTTTTAAAAATTAAAAAAATAACAGTTTTTGTAGCAAAATACTCTTTGTTGCAATAATATTAATAATATCCTCATTATCAAGATTTGTTAAATTATCTTTTTTTAAGGCCATAAGCATGAAACATTCTAAATGTTCCTGTGTTAATGAATTCCTTAAAGCATTTTTTAATATTTTTAATTCTGAGAATGATTGTTTACAAGATACTTGCGTAACTGACAGAGTTAAAATTAATTTATAACATAAAAATAATCCAGGATACGCTCTGCTAAACAAATTATAATGAACTATTAACTTGTAGCAACAATTAATACAACTGCTTTCATCATGACCGTTACCACTTAATTCACATTTTTCATATAGATTTTCATCGCTGTTATCAGAATCGTCTTTTATTTCATTTGTTAACTCAGAATAATGTATCTGAATACTTTTATTTAAATTTTGCCATTTAGAATGAAAATCTTTTTACTCAACTTGAAGATAATTTAATGTTAATGTAGACAAAAACAGTGAAATTAATTCAAATACCCGTTTTAAAACAGTTGGCTGTAAATTTTCTGAATGATCTTAGAAATTTTTAGGGTCAAGACATGAGAAGTCTGTACATAATGTTCCGTGTTCTGCATACCTTTTTTCAAAATTCTTAGTAATTGTATCCATTATTGAATAAATTTATTTCATAAGACAATAATGGCTCAGTCACAGGATTGTCTATTACCTCATTAGGAAAATAATCTTTTTTTTAATCCGGATGAATGGTAATTTTCACTTACCCCAATTAATAAAATGTTGCAATGCGTTTTGAATTGCTTTAAGATCTCTAGAAAATGTTTTCAAAGAATTAAATGTTTCTTGTGCCATTGCATATGCTTTAAGACAATCAATTCCTTTGATTTACAAGTATATAGATAAGGGAGTAGTCTTTTCAAAAATTCAAAAAAATATTTGAGCAGTAATTATAGTTTCATACTTGCAAAGTCCTTCAAGTATTTAGCCTAAAACCTTGCTTCTGGTGTTAACTGAACATTTGCAATAACTTCTTCAAAAATAATTATTAAATCTATGTATAATGAACTATCAGGATTATTGAAATGTCCAAATATTTTACACAAGGCTTTATTTTTGTACCACTATCTAGTCTCTCCTATTAAGTTTAATTTCTTTTGAGGAACTTTTTCAGTCCACTTGTCCATTCTTTTATGCGAGTCTTTAAAAAACACTGCACATTCATGGATTAGTTCAAATAATGACATTGATGATGTAGAAATATTGGTTGTATCACACATCACTAAATTTAAAACATGTGTATAACACCAAATATGAACATGTTCTTTAGTAGCTTCATTTAATTTTTTGGAAAACCAATTATAGTGTCCTTGCATGTTAGAAGCACCATTGGTGGAATTACCAACACATTTATTTGGATTAATATTTAAAACTTTTAAAAGCTTCATTAACATATCGACAAAGTCAACTCCTTTGGTACCCGTAAACTTAACTACACCTACCAATCGTTCCTGTACTGATGCATTTTTTATGTACCGCAAAATCACAGAGCATTGATCCATTGTTTTAATGTCTTGTTTAGTGTCTAACTGAACAGAATACATACCAGCGTTGTTTACTTCTGAAGATATTTTTGATTTGATTAACTGGTTTATTGTATCTATAACATAGTTATCAGTGATTTTCGACAAAAAAGTAATATTTCCTCCCCCTTGCTTCGACCCACGATCATGGCTTTTCTGACTGTTATTAATAACTGTATCAAGATAACTCATTAATGTAGTCATATTTTCCAAATAATGTAATTATTTCCAAAAAATTTCCATGGTCCATGTTTTCATCTTTTAATGTAAATGCAGCTTCATTTGATTTACCTCAATAACTCAAACCCCTCTTTCCAATTAATTTTACGTCTATTATCCGGTTCAATATTTGTTGATGATTAATAATTTGACTCTTTCTCAAATCCCTTTGGCCATATGTAAGAAGATGGTCAATAGAACCATTTTTTTTTTCTAAGTATGTGAGCATCCAGGCTGTTTCTATGACATTTTGAACTTTCATGTTCTTCAATACGGTTGTATAAATGCTTCCAATCCGTTATGTTATGGATAAATGTATTGTTATCAGTATACTTTCCATATTAAATACATAAACTACTAAATATAGCAGGGTTATCTGATCTCAAAGTTACCCATATACGATTTCCTCCATCTTTTCTAGTATACACTTTGGCTGCAGAAAATGGTATATTTGTTTGCAGTTGATGCGGATGATATTGTAAATATCAGTGATGCCCAACCTTTTTCCTTTGGCGGGCCACTTTTGTAAACAATTATCTTCAAGGGGCCACAAATTAAAAGAGAACAAAAATAATCTTATATATTGGACTTGTTTTCTTATCTTTTATTGTCTATTGAAAAGATTATGAATTGAAATATACATAATTGTATTTTTTGGAATAATTATTTAAACGAGTTCATAAATTTAAATAAAAATAATATATGAAAATAAATAATTTAAAAATATTTTTTCATACATTTTTAAATTTTTTTTATTTTAGAAAATTCGTAATGGGCCACATAGAATACCTTCGCGGGCCACATGTGGCCCACGGGTCGCGGGTTGGGCACCACTGGTAAATATGCAACAAGAACATTTTCATTAGGCCGAATAAAATAATTATGGTACGGATTAGGTTCATTCCTTTTTTCCACCTCCATACCTTTCTTTGCACCAGTTTCAGCATGAACATCATTAAAAACATCTACAGAATTTCCTTTAAAAATATAAAATAAAAAACTATTAGATATTTTTATTTAAAAAAAATTGGATTCTAATAACAATATTTAAATATAAACTGCCAAAATTACATTTAGTATGAATGTATGGTAAAATTTGCTAGAATTATTAACTATGTATTAATACCTTCTCTCTGTGTCATTTTGTACTTCATCATGAAAAGTAGAGTTCATAACTTTAACTTCTACTGCTGAATGCTCTTTCACACCTAAGCTTGTTGGACCTATAAAAAATAATATTGATTATTATTTAAAAATCAAAATCAAATCAAATATTGTAGTTATTAATACTTTTAAAATATTTTATATTAAAAAAGTATTATTAAATGGTAAGGTATAAAAAGTACAGAATAACAAAATAAAATGAAAGAATACAAATGACAATACTTGTTCTTACATAGACAAAATTTAGCTTTGTAAAAAAAAACTATCTAATAATAATTTAATATAACAAGTGAGTTAAGTATAGAGAAAAGAACTAAATCAAAATATCCGTTTGATAATGCTGTAGTATATAAAATGTAATGTAGTTGTAATAAATTTTATATTGTTAAAACTAATAGAGATATTAAAACTATGTAAAAAAAACAAACATCATGTAAAATGAAAACAAGCCTTGTACAAAATGAATGTTTAGTATTAACTTACCACATTTAATGAATATGTCTGTTAATTTCAAACATTTCTTTTCATTTTCTCGCAGTTACTTTTTTTGTTTTGCTTAACGGTATGCAAAACCAGATAAATTTGGTCTCTTTGTTTTTTCCATACTTTCTATATTAAAATTGCATACGTTTAATACATGATATTTTTTACAAATAAGTATAAAATTATTATTACCATTAATATTTTATAGCCTTTGCCACTTTGCCAGTATCTGATCACACGATTACAATTACAAATAAGAACTGATTGTATGTTGCTTGTTTCTTTATATTATTTGTTTCAAATTTATTCCGATAAGCCGAAAAGCAAATGTTTAAAAATAGATATCTAATTTACACGATTCAGCCCAAATAATACGATTTCATAATAATTGTGACGTTATCGTCGACCGTCGCCAGTGTATATTATTTTTGTTATTACTGGTTTAAGCCATTTTAAATCGTTTTTTTATCGTGCTCGTTTGGACGATGAATAAAATGATCATATAATAATAATAATAATAATAATAGTTTCTAATCACAATTTATTTATGGGGTAAACCGCTAAACTATAACAATTTTTTTACATAGTGTTAAGACTTTAAGTAAAAATAAATTTAAGGTCCTAAATGAGAAAAACCCTAAGGATTTCATATTGAAAAAATGTACACCACTGCATATTGGAAAGGGGCGCACCGGGAAAGTCCCGGTATTCCGGTGGGCCTATCCGCCCCTGCAAATAAGCAAAATAATATTGTAATATTAACCCTTTGTTAGTCACTATGGAACATTTTAATGGGATAATAAAATAATATGTCTAGGGTAGACATTAAAAACGTTTGTTTGTTTTGAGGTAAAAACATAAGCACACCAAACGCCGCAATATCATTACCTAGTGATCAGAGTATAAATAGGTATGATGATATGATTTTTATCATTATCAGTGTAGTATCAAATGATATACAGTCATTCAAAGTGGAGTTTGGAAATATTTTACGTGAGGTGACTATTTTTGTTACAAATTTATCTTGTTTGTTTAAATGCTTATGAAAATGTGGAAGAAAATGAAATTACTGTTGAATAACCACTAGATTGATTTATTAAAATTACATATAATAAATATATATTATTATTATTAGTAATATAAAATTACTGAATTAAGTAATTCAAATTGAGATTTTTCATTAATTTAATTTGATTAAGAGGTTTTTATGATTTTTGTTTTGTTTTTGTAATTTTATGATTTAACTATATTTTTTTAAATACCTATAGTTAAATGTATTCTTAAACATTGTTATACTTAAAATGTTACTTATCAAGGATAAACATATTTCTCTTAATCTTAATAATATAATGCTGAAAAGAGAATTATGTTGTTATTATTATTTTTTTAACCTTTTTTAAGTTATGATATTATAGTTCATATTAAACATAAATTAATAAATAATAATCAAAATATGCTGTATAAATTAATAAAAATAAACTGAAAAAATTATTAGCAATGTTTAATAATGGTTATTTCAATAAGGTAGCTCGATTTTTAAATGTGAAAAAAAAAAGTTGTGTGTAAGATATATCCACTTAATTTATTTTTTATTTTAAAGAATGCTTTAATTATGCAATTATTTATATAGTATAATATCGTTTAAATTTCCTTCATGGATTTGTTTGGTGGCACGTATTCAGAAGGTCCAATTTTTTATGGCTTTGTCGCATAAATCTGGTTGAATTTGCTGGATGGCATTAGTTATGTTGACTTGGAGGACATCAATTGTTTGCAGTTTATTTTTGCAGACTTGCAATTTAAAATACTCCCAAAGAAAAAGTCTCAAGGCATTAAATCACACAATCTCGAAAGCCATTTATGTCTTAATTGTGCGATATCACCATGCCCTCAAATCGTTCACGTAAAATGTACATTATTGCAGGCGCTGTATGACACATAGCACCGTCCAGTGGGAATGTTCTCAGTATCTATATCATCCAGCTTTACACCATCCAACAAGAAGTTTCTAATAATAAATCTGTAGCACTTGCCATAGACAGTTATGGCAATATTGGTTTCATTTTGAAATAAGTACAGTATGATGATTATGCCAGAATCCGTACCAAACAATGGTTTCCTCGAGATGCATTTTATTTTGGTGTTTTTTGTGTAGATTGGTGTTGTCCCAAATCCGACAATTTTGTTAATTGACATATCCATTCATCCAAAAATAGGCCATTTCGCAAAATATGATTTTCTTTAGTGAAATTTGGGTCAACTTCTAACTTCCCCAGAACCATTGCATTGTGTATGATCATTTACCATAAGTTCCTTTGTTCCTTGTTCTACACTATAACTATTTGTGGTGAGTTGCCATACAGTACTGAATTCAATAACACATTGACAGACAAGGCTTTAATGACATTCCCGATATAACCAATTAAAGTTTTATCATCTCTATTGAAATACCAGTTATTTAAACTAATATAGAATAAATGTTCACATAATAATACCATTTGATATTTAAATATTAATTATACATACATACAAGACACATATTTAGCAATAAATAATATAATATATGAATTCATAACTTTAATAAATTAATTTAGCACAGGGGTTTTATATTACTCCTGGTGATTAAAATTGTTTTCAAATCAATAAGGTGACTAACGAAGAGTTAATACAACTTATAAACTGAGATGTTCTAATATTTTTTTTAAGGAAAGTAAACTACTGATCACCAATAAAACCTATCCTAAATATAAAAAATAAATTATAAATATAAACTTATAATTATTTTTTAATTACAAGATACCACCAATTAATGTGATAATAATTAGGTCTTAATTATGTATAAATTCACATAGATACCTATTATTTTTAGACATTTATAATAAAATATGACTATCAATCAGAACAGCAAATTTAATAAAATTCATATTGATTCATTTTATTCGAAAATAAAAAATAGTATACCTATTTGTATATTACTAGTTATTAATTATTATAAGCAATAATTTTTTTCTTATAAAATATGTTAACATATTAATTAATTTAATATAAAATTATTGGCATTTTTTAGAGTCATATTCTTTTAATATAATTTTTCATTTTTTATCATCATATATACTAAAAATATTTAAACATATAATATGTAGATTATAAATGTACCTCCTCTCAGAAGCAAATAACCTATTTTTTTTTTTGATAAATATTATCTATCAAAATATTTTTTGGAAACTGTCTAACCATAAACATAACTTTAATTAATTTATGAAGTTTATTTTTTTTTATTTTTTTTTAATTACATTGAAGTTCAGTTGACCTATAAATTTCATATAAGTATGTAGGCAATATTATTCATAACCCAGTGACTTAAACTATACATTTTTTTATCAGGTACATTTTACACAAATATTTCTTGAGCGATATTTTGAAAAAAAAATTATTATTCTATAAATACATAGACAAATAACTTTAACAGTACATTTAACATTAATGATAATTTAAATTGTCATTTATTTAATTTTGTTTATTCTTTATGAGTAAAACTAAGCTTACTAACCTGATTCTCATTAGTAACCTTTGCCAATAACTGATCATTTAATACTTCAACTAATACTATGGGTTGAATTTGATTTAGCTGCAAGTTCTGTGCATTCATTGACCCATTTTCTAATGATTGAGTTAAAATATCATCAGATTCAACACTACATTTGTTTTTCTTTAAGCATTCTATTTCTTGGGGCACATTTTCTATAGATTCCTTGGACCATTTTTTGTGTTTTACATTAGATTTTTTTCCTCTTCTCCTTTTAGGAGTGATAACACGTTTATTTCTTTTTGATAAATTTGAATCATTGACTATTAACATTTGTTCAATTACTGAATTACAGTCACTTGTAATATTTACTTTGTCAATGTTCTCAGACTTATCAAAATGTGATCCTTTTTCAACGTTAATTGATTCTTGAGAGAGAATTGTACTATCGGTACTATTTTCTACTTGTGTTAGAACCACATCTTTAGTAGGACTATCAAATTCAATTAGTTTTCTTTGAGATTTTCTTACTTTAGACTTATTTTTTTCATTTAAGTTAGGTTGAGTTTCATTTAGCTTTAAACTATGAATTTCTAATGGCTTGTCTATCATTGATCTTTTTACACATTTTTCAATCTGAATACCAGATATTTTTCTTTTTCTTTTTTTAGAAACAGAAAAATTCATATTATTTCTAGATTTGAAATGTTCATTATTTTTTAATTCACTTGACTTATTGATTTTTGATTTTATTTCGTTTTCTAAATGATAATCATCTATGAATTGTATTTTATCAATATCTTTAAATTCATCAAAAGATTTACCTGGATGAAATATTTGTTTTGTATTACTTGGTACAGATAATACTTGAATATAATTTTCAGAAAAAGTATCAAAAGAATTTTCAATTTCAAAGAGAGCTTTAACATATAATTTATACTTTCGATTTTTCTTATTAGGTTTTCTTATTTTAGATTTGTTTTCTTCATATGGAATAAGAAACTCTGCTTTACACTCAACACAGTTACCAGTTCCATACAAATATACATTGTATGTAGTTTGTGATAAAATATTCGTATTAACACTAGATATTATGGCTGGCCAAGCAGGATAACATTTTCTTCTTACAAAGACTTTATCTTTAACATTGAATACTTTTTCCAAAGACATTGGAGCAACCTTTAGAAAATATAATAATTAAATAATAGTATAATAATTATAGGTAGGTAATATAAAATATTAATATTAACTCACTATAAAATAGAACCAAATAATGAATTATAAAATATAGATTAATGTACTTAAAATAACCATTGATCTATAACAAACAATTACATAATTAATAAATTTGTTATCTTAATTAGCCATAGAATAGTTTTTAATTTTAAAGCTAAAAAAATAATATTTATTTTTCTATATTTTTAATAATTACAAATTTAACAAGATGATATTGGACTAGGATGTAAAAGTATATTTTAAATGTAGGTACTGCACCAACTATAATATTTTAGATAGTTATAAAAATGTTGGTAAACCTAAGTAACTGTAGTATTTATGAAAATATTTCATTTCTACATCCTAGGTATATAATTATCTCTAATATACTTATTATAAAAATTAACTCTAGGCACAAATTTAATAACTTTTATACCATTTTAAGCAAGTACAAAATTAAATCTTTGCAAATAGCATTAATGGACGCTCCTTTCCCTTAAGCTTAGTAAATTTTAACTTATTTACTTATCATATTTTTGTGTATATAGATTTTAAATGTTAAAAAAAAATGCTAAGGTTTATGATGTATAAATGTATAAATAAACACATTAATATAAAATTATATTTCAAACATATTCAAGGAAAAGTCAAATTTTTCTTTATTTCATTTTTTAAATATTGCCATTAACCTGCTTATATAAATTAAGTATATAATGTATTAAAATAAATAATATCTAAATGTATTTTAATAAGATGCAATTTGCAATGTAGTTGCCTGTAATCTAAAATAAACAATTTTAGAAAAACTTTTCAAATACATACTTACATGATGTCAATGTTACGTACTACTTGCAGTTGCTATTGTCAAAATTATCATAAAATGGTATGCAAAAAAAAACCAGTGGCTTTTACTAGTTTAGCAATACCCACTGACAATTTATTAAATTTATGGGTACTACCGCAGAATAACTTATTAGATCTTGCCCATTCAACATCATAGAAAGCAATGTAAAAATGTGACCCTTCTTCCACCAAACCGAATGACAAAAACTCTGTAGAGAACTATAAAATAAACTAAATAAATCACTACTATGGAGAGTTAGATAAAACAGACAATTGAAAACAATACATTGAATTGTTGTACTAAATAACATTATTCTATGCGAATTCCAAGGTATACAACAAAGCGCAAGGCAAACACCAAACCGATCGGAAACGCAAGTACTTACGTGATTTTGCAGTGAAACAGATATCCGTTTTCAGACAAAAATGAATTAATTATTATTTAGTTTATTTTATTTTATTATTGTATAGTTGAAGGAAAAAATTTAAAAAGTAAAAGGAGACAAAAAAAAAAAAAGACCCCATGCGTGAATGGAGAAACAAAAGACGACGAACTATACTTAAAGTTGCAAACAAACACTGCCTATAACGTGAATTCGAGACGCCAACAGGCACTGTATTCAGGTACAACAACTGCGCAATATCATAGGTCAGTATTTCCCAAACTTTTTCGACTCATGGCGCCCTTTCCTAAGTCATAACATGACTTAATCATAAGGAACAATTTAGACCAGATAGTATTTCATGACGACGCGGCGCCCCTGTACAGACACACTTTGTAAACCGCTGCTATAGGTTAATATACAATATAGTGATGAGCGGTAATGAATAATTTGTATTATCGATTATTATTCGATTATTCATATCATAGACGCAAATTGAGGGAGCTTGAGGGGCTAAGCCCCCCCCCCCAAAATCTACAAATTTAAAATGTTATCTATATATATATATATAAAATCCAAATACCACTGACTCACTGATCGCTGTATCTCAAAAATTACGCAAGGTACGGACTTGAAATTTGGAATAGAGGTTCTTCTCATATTTTCACCGTGGAATAAGAAAGGATTTTTCGAAAATCGCATATTTAAGGGTCGAAACAGTTTTGAACTGGATGCATACATTTTTCAATTTTTGGTTACCTAGGAAATATTTGATTTGTTTAATATGTTGATTTTAATAATCACCGATTAAGAATTCTGTAAGTTATTAAACTGTATAACAACATAATCGAAGCCATCATTTTAAATGGAAAATTTAAAGGTGAACATGTACTATTATCACGCATCCCAATGACTCCAACAGATAAGCAATTAGAATTCAAACTTTTGAAGTTTCCAGTGCGACTCGCTTTTGCAATGATCATTAACAAATTACAAGGACAATTAAAAGAATATGTGGACTAAATTTTGAAAATTCATGCTTCTCACATGGATAATTGTGTGTGGCCTGCTCACGTGCCAGAAAACCTGATTTATTTGTGTATACACCAAAAAAGGAAAAACAAAAAATATTGTATAATCCAAAATAAATTGAACATTGTTGTACGGATATTAGTATATGCTTACATATTGTAAACAGTACAGGAAGGCGTGATAGATATGGCTATATTTAATATTTACTTATTATAATACATAACAAATTGCCTAATATTTCAACCGTTATTTCGGGTGATTTATACTTAAAAAGGTATAGGTTCAACGGTAACACCCAAAAAGAGTTGAACACTTACAATTTTTTCAACGGACAACGTCAAGTATTACTCCTCACTGACCATCGCTGCATCTCAAAACTATATGAACTCGAAATTTAACATGGTGGTCTCTCCAATATTCAATACATGCAATAAGAAGGGATTTTAAAAAATATTTTTAAAAATTACTATACTGATTCATTTGAACTTTCGTTTTATTTGTTTTATAACCACCAATAGTTACACCAAACTTGGCTTTAAATGGTGTAAAGTAATAATCCATTAAAACCTATGTCACGGCCAAGAATGTTCCGTGCGAAGCCGGGTAATTAAGCTAGTAATATTATAAATGTGTACAGTTTTTTCTTTTTTATATTTAAATAATATATATTATGAGATGGCCATGTTAATTATAAAATAAAAATTATCACTGGTATTGTAGAATTAAATGTATAATAAATATTTATTTATATTATTTGATCCTATATCATTAGGAATTATAATTACATTGTTTTATTATTGCTATTGTGTCATGATCGCGATTGTACCTACTAGAGATCTGCACGGGCCGGACTAGCCCTACCCAGCCCGTACCCAACACGGCCCGTACCGGGCCGTGCCATAATATAAATATTGAGGGGTTGGTTATTGGTGGGATCGTAGTATTTTTTTTCTTTGGAATGGGCCGGTCAAAAATAAAACTACATAAATATAATATAAGAGTACAATACTAGTGCCGATTATTGGCGTTGGACAAGGAAATGTTTCCTGACTGATGGAGAAGGCTTGTCACAAATCAAAATAAAAATATGTATGTATTATTAGTGTATGCGATATTTATAATAATAGGTCACTGATAAAAACAAATAATAAATATTACGCTCGGTCGGGTTGCACTTCAAAAAAAAATTAAGTACTGATCTTAGGGGGGGGGGGGGCATTTTGTAAGTTTAAGTTTCGGGCCGGATTGGACCGAAAAAAAACGGCTTGTGCAGATCTTTAGTACCTACTTTATAATAATTATATAAGGTACTCTTTACTAAACGCACGATGCCATGTTATAAGCTAGGGTTATAAGCTATAGGTTATAAGTAGGGAACGGATTTATATGTAATAAAAATACAGAAATATGTACATATATATGTAAGTATAATTTATAAAATATGTGCTAAAAACATCCAAATATGAGGGGAAAAAAATTTAAAAAAAAAGTGATTATTATTATTAAATTATCAAAAAGATTTGTTGCATTGAATTATTACAATATCTTGTAAATTATCAAATGCTAAATGTCGCCTATTAGGTATCAAAATATTTTTAAAACGGCTAAATTATCGTTTCACATCAACCGATGTATTAAAAGCATATTTCAAGTGTATACTATCAGAAGGCGATAATTCCAAATTTTTTTAAGGTTGTCTGCCATTCATTATGTCATTGATTGTTTTAAATTCAATATTGCCTGGAATTTTTTCTGTAACAGCATGAATTTTCTTTTTTACGACATCTATCGGTCCGCTTACGAGTTTTAATCGCTGATTTAACAATTTGCATACTATCATTTGGGGACATATTTTTTTATTAATAATTTTGTTAAATTATTTTTAATTAAAATTAAATAATTTTCAATGTTTCATTTTGCATAATATTTTGAGCTTTTCCAATAGCGATAAAAGTTTCTGGATCTAATTTTGAAATAATTTCTTGTATTTTCGTACGAAAAAGATGTATGAATGATGAAATGATAAAAATATGTTTAAAAATATTTAAAAATTAGTGAAATATGTAAAAATATATAATTATACCAAAATATGTAAAAATATGTAAAATAAAAGTATCATAATTTTAATAGGAATGATTTAAATCATAAACATTTCTTATCGAATCTTAAATATCTCGTTTTAATAAAAATATGCATTTACATATAAATCCGTTCCCTAGTTATAAGCTATAGGTGATAAGCTCACATGATATTTGTCATGACGTGTTTATAGTTTATACTATATTAGATTAAAAGTTTATTTTAACTGTGTGAAAAATGGGGGGTGTGGGGGCAAAGCCCCCCACGTGTCTACTTGCCCTTAATATATTCAGCCCCCCCCAAGTCAAAAGTTTAAATTACGCCTATGATTCATATATACTATTGAATAATTATTCGAATAATATTATGCATGACTGAATAATTATAACTATCGAATAATTATTCGACTAATTTATACTATTTAATAATCAAAACTATCGAATAATCGATACCTTTGAATAACTCGAATAATCTGTAGTCTGTACTCTGTACCATCGATAATTATTCGTATATGCTTGCCGGCGGTCGTACTATCCATACGCCAAGAATATTTTTCACTTTGTCGTGCATTTTTTACAGATGTTCGGTTGATTACATAAAGGGCCGGGTCCAAAGAAACACTTTCAATGAATGCTGACAATAAATGTACAGCATCACGATCACTAACCTTAAAAATATAAATTAAATACGTAATTATTACGTATAATGTATATTATCTAAAATAATTGTTTTTAACTAATATTGAATTTGTAAGTTTAACACATATGACATATGTACCAAATACGTTTTGAAGGCTAACCTAACCTGACCTAATCGAAATAATGAAGTAGTTAATATTTAAAAAAAACAAATTTTAAAATATAGTTGTTAATTTGTTGCATAAAAAATTTTTTTAACGTCACGTTACCAAAACCATAAATATATAAGATTAATTGATATCAATAATTACTTACCTTGCACTTATCTAATGCTGCACAAAGCCGTGGTGTCATTATTGATTTGTTGGCCCTTTTGAATCTAGATGGGCCAGGGCAACAGTTATCTGAGTGAACATCACTTTCCTCGCTAACATTTTCGGACTCATCTGAACTTGTTGGTATTTCAACTAAAATATTTATAATTAAATCATTTTATAAGGCATTTATGAGTATTTTTATTAAATAATTACCTATGGCAGATTCTGAAATTTAAGAATTGTATTTTTTTTTTTTTGCAATTTCTGTTTCTATTCTGACATTTTTTCTTTTTTCTTTATTTGTTTGTTTCATATCTACTCCCAACATGCAACCTCTACGACCGGGATTTTGCTGACAAATTAAAAATGCTTTGTCCACCTCAATTTTCATTAAATCTTAAGCATTAGAATGAGCAATGTCGAATAGTTTTCCAAATCTTCTTCAAATTCTTCAACTTTTGAATTATAACTTGCATTTTTGCGCTTTTTACTTTTTTCAAGATTGCGCCATAATTCGTATTTTTTTTTTAAATTTTTTACACAATCAGCTTTATCTTTTGTTGGAATACGGGCCTTTTTCCAGAAAATTAGACATTCGTCGATCACCTAATTGGAGCTTTCGGATAAAGTCATATTTACGTGTCTAATATTATAAAATAATACTTTCAAGCAGTCTCTTAATGAAAGAAGTTTGCTACCTAGAATTTGATTTTTCATTGAACCGATCAGATGAATATTTTGTCGGCGCATTTTATATTATTTAATATAATATCGTCCACCAAAAACTTGTTGACAACTAACTCACTAATATTGATATTCTACAAATTACATCAAATAAAACTAAGATAACATAATATGCTGTGCGTAATCTTTGCCGATTGTAAACGAGTCATATAACTAATGGTTATTGCTATTAACGCGATTGGCCATTGGATAATCATAATAATAACTGAAGAAAGGCGATAAAAAATACAAGAGATTGTGACAATGGTAATTGTTTGTTTATTTTTATCTTAAAATTTCTTAAATCCAAGTATAACATTTAACTGATCGATCAAATAAAACTAACAAATAACCTTTTTTTTTTAGAAAATTAAATGTAACATACATTTATT